CACACACACACACACACACACACACACACACACACACACATCTCTTTTGTTAAGCATTGAAGAAAAAGGAATTGGTGCAGAGTTTTTCGACTTGCTTTTCATTGGAAAATAATTTATGTAATTGTGAAATATTTAGTACACATTTTTTATATTAAAATATTTTTATCGGTCCTTTGAAATTAAAGAATTATTAAGACTCTCTCAACGCAAAAAATTCAGACGCTTAAGTTAAGGGTTAACAAGATATCGAAAAGTTTCCGCGAGTACATTGACCCGTACTCGCATCGATCGGCTCGAGGCGCCACTGCGTATCAAGTACAATTTTCAATTTGTTCAACAAATACACACAGATTTAGACGTAAATCGGAAAAAAAAGAGAATAAAAACCGCTAGATTGAAGAAAATCCTAAGTATCCAAATACGATTGCACGAATAAACTCGATACAGGAGTAGCAAAAATCGGTCCTGATTAATTGAAATGCAAATGCTAAATAAAAACGTAACGAACATAAAAAAATAATGAGAAACATAAGAATACAATCTTTTTAATTCGTTTTTAATACACTATGGAAAAAACTTAATTGATACGATATTTAAAGACTTCATTGAATTCAGGCTAAAGTTACGATTTATTAAGCGAGACCCTCAGCCATGGACACCTTAACTTGTTGAATGGATCATTAAACCCGTCATCTCATACTCTAAATCGAAGAATGTAAATGTGCCTGAGAAAGATCCCCCGTGACGGCGCGACATCGTCGTCGTCGCCGTCGCCGTCGCTGTCGGGTAGACGCACGAGGTCCTCCGACGTGTCTACGCCGGTGGGCTGTTTTGGGCGGGCGACGCAGCGGCTGTGCGCAAAAAGTGACGGCAGTCAAGTTCAAGGCCACCGACGTCTCCAACCTCCTGCCCCACTACCCCGCCGCGCCGCGGCTCCCGTCACGGCCGCCGTCGCCTTCAGCCGCCCGCCTGCCCGCCCACCCACCTACCCACCCACTCACCTATCACCGTTGTGATATACACACATCGGCGCGTCTGTACGCCAGTAGCGTATCATGCCCGAGGCCGCCGCACTCGCTCGCAAGATCGAGCGATTCTCCGGGTTGATTCTCGAGCGCGCGACACGCGGCGCGACGGTACGATATGAGGGAGTGTTTCGCTCGATCGATCTACCCCGTTGCCGCGAGGGAAAATTCAATTCGTCGTCCGCACGTAAATGCCGCTCGGCACGAGGGTCCGAATTATTTGAAACACAGATTCCTCGCGGAACTGCGCGCGCGAATACCGCACTTTACGAATTGAATTGGAAGGGAAGAGGAAAAAAAATTCCTACGAGCTCGAATCTAAAAATTGCCTTTGAAATAGATATGCTTGCGGAGGAGGGGGAAATATTTTTTTTATTTATCAGCGAAAATAAATTTGCGAGACGCGAACGAATGATTTTATGAATATATAAATAACTCTTATGACCATCGCTAAAGTGAAAGATACTTAATTGTAAGAAATAATTTGTTAAGATGCATACACAAAGAGAAATTTATCTACACACACACACACACACACACACACACACACACACATACGCATACGCGCGCGCGTGCGTTCATTTATCATATATACATACATATTTATACATATATTTATATACAAATACATATATAATTTTATTAACATAAAAATATATATCTGCAAATGTATTTGTCTAGAGTCTGGAAAAATATTTTATGTCTGCTATTTCCTCGCTTCTCGGAAAGGGTGGAGCCTGTTGCGAGGACGAGAGAGAGAAAGAGAGAGGATATAAATCAGCGTATATAGAGAATATACGAAAAAGCCGCTTCGAGTTGGTACGATAAAGCGCGAGCTGTATCAAGGTGATACGGGAGCCATAATGTTAATGACCGATTGCCCGTGACCATGATTTTATCCAAAATGACATTGCATGCAACGCTTGAGTGAAAAACGGTAACATCTGTGTTGTCAGACCGAGACAATCGCTACGCCTTATCGATAAATGCGATAAGATGAAAATACTTCGGTGTTGCCTAATACGGTGCAACTGCACGATAGATATCACACACATACCCACCCACACATACGCATTTTCAGATTAAGAGCCATAATTATTTTATATAATGAAACATAATATCATTTACTGTGCGCGAAACTTCGATGCAAACGTCAAAAGACGGTACGATAAAAATTAACGCATGAACAAGCAATACGAATAAATACATGGAAAAATTTGAATAATAATATGAAAATTGTTGGTATTATCGTA